TATATACAAAATATTTTGACTAAAGGCAAGTTCTTTTTATATAAAGAAAGTGTTTGCTGTAAGTTTTATGCTTAACAAAATATTTGAATTTATTGTTCTAATTTATAGCTATCTTTGACGTCTTTACAACCTGGAAATTATCGAGAAAATTGTATTTTTCTAAACAAACACTTAGTATTTCTTATAATTCTTTAAAGCCTAATGCTGCTGATTATTATTTATAAGTTTTCGTAAATTCGCTCTCGCTGGTAGGGGTGAAATAATCAAACATTTACAAACTCAGGCAATTTGCTTGCAGGACTCGCAATTCTGTATATTTGAATTTATAAAGGCGGTCAAAATAAATTATAAAAAGGCATGCTACTAAAGTAGCCAGTTTTTACAATACATACGCTTTGCTAGTGGTCAGAACGAAGCTTGTTAAAAAGCCCGCATTCTATCACGAACGAAATGACTTCAGCATAGACTACACGATAATCAGTATAACAACCTGAGTCAATGCCGATTAGCGAAAGAATGTAAATAGCTCGCATGTGTCGGAATATTGCGTGATTTTCGGCGACTACTGTACGTTTACTCCTTTTAACTAACCGACAGCTGCTCTTTTTTCGTTTGCTCTTATGAAAACTAATTTCCCTCTATTTTTGCTGCTGTATCGATGCATTTCTTAGCCATTGTGTTACCAAAAGGGCGCCCAAAGGCCTCTGCCTAGCTTTCCCTTAATAAAAACTGAACTAGACATTCCGCCCGTCAAAGTCAGTCTATAGCCAGTTTTGTGATTGGCTGCCACTGAGAAATCCCGTAGGCACTCGCGTGATTGGCATTGGTGGCTGGGATGTGATATTAGCCTCGATTCGCCCGCGAAGGCGGGGCGCAGTCAAACAATTAGGTTATTAGCCATGCACGCCCGTAAAGCTGATTTGCTAGTGTAGGGTTACTCATAGGCTGAGGAGCATTCACCTAACTCGATCCCTCACTCAGCGTCCCTGCTACCATCGGAGCCAACACCGGCTTAGACTATTGATCTTTGCTAACGCACTGGAGGAAGCGACTGCGCTATAGGGCCAGTTATTCCACGTACGATAGATAAGGCCACCCCACAACCATGTCTGATGAGTCATGCCAAGTGAGTCTGCTGATTCTGTGCCCCAGACAACAGGCAGCACGCCGGTTGCGCATTGTTTTGAACTCTTATGAGCAGGGGGTTTTCTGGCTCTGCATGGGTGTGCGCAGTCCTGTTATCAGTAAGGGTCAGGTGTGTATAAGGTGTCTGAGGAGGGAACCCGCCGACAACACGACCCCCGTTACAGATCTGAAGTTGAGCCAAGAGAGCTATCCTTCACAGACCTTACCTGCACTCAATTGGGGTCCCACAGAGTTGTAGCGGAGATCACAACCCGTCAATAGTTTCGTACGACAACCTAAATTGTATGAGAACTAGTACGTAAATGTCCATGCAAGTGACTGTGCGCTAAGTCGGAAAGGATTTTTTTCAAGCCCAAGCACTTTAGACGAAACATTCTCGCACCCTGGGGGTTTCTACCCCTTACTTGAGGGCATATGTCAATCAAGTGAGCAAACCTGCACCAGAAAACCTTACCATTCAGATATTAAAACCAAATGCGCATGGCGAACAACGCTAGTCTAGCTTGAGTGGCGACACTTATTTTTGTCTCCAATATGTACCGAGGTGTTCAGTGAGTTTGCGCCTAGACTAGCTGCTATTTCATTGGAAATTACAAAAAAAATTAAGGGACACCAGCCAAGTTTACTAAAGAAGGCCTTGGAAAAAGTATTACAATCAGCGAAACCCCTGAACGCAATGAAAAGTTCATAAATGTAGATATATAAATGTATATCAGAAAGGTTGCAAGGTTACTGAAACAGAAGAAGTAAGAAGGAGGGAATTGAGTCAGAAAAACAGCCAATAAACCCACATCCCGAGAGTGACCGTGCCTAGAG